TGGTTTAAATTCAAATTACTAAATAAAAGAATAGAAATAGTGGTTATAAAACCCTTAATTTCTAATTTTAAATAAATATGGGAAAAAAAAATCATGATACCATAAAATCAGGGCTAAGAACCAACTCTCAAAATTTTACTGAATTGAAATTCTTTTTTTAAACTAGGAATTTATTAGGTGATGTGAATATAAAAAATTTTGATTTAATCATGTATTTTTTGTATCAACAATAAATAAACGTATTGATTTTGAACCATTTTATTTATCACAAAGAACATAGTAAAATAAGTAAACTAAAAATGTAACATAACTGTCTATTTATACAAAATATAATGCAAAAGAATGATATAATTTTAATATAAGAAGAGGAAATAATTTTATGTATTTAAGAAGAATCTTGCATGCGCATCCAACTTTTTAGGCACAGGCAAGCTTGTATAGTATGTCTAGTGAACAACGTTGGTCTGTTATAACATACCGTCCTTCTGAAAAAGCACTTTTAGAGCTAGATGAGGTGGCCGGAATTGCTAGATAATCTCTGGCAATTTTTGATAATACTGGATATCTATTTTTATTTAATTGCCACCAATCTAATGGATTTGTATCATTGGAAATTGTGGCTTCATCTACGTATTTACTTATTTCTAAGTTTTTATTATTATGAGGTTTCACCTGATAAATTTTGTCATAAAAGGACAATTTTTTATTATTTTGTGCTTCATTTGTAAGTTCCGCTGAATTGTTATTATTTGTTTTATAAATATTGTATTCATTAGTAAGATATCCAATAAGAGTTTCCCTATTATTATGCTTTAATAAATGACTTGATAGTTTAAATCTTGGGTCAATCATTGTTGAAATAATAAAGAGGTGTTTATTAAAATTATAGTATTTATTAAGTTTTGTTAGGGCAGCTAAAGAAGCTGTCTTTAAAATAGCATTAGGATTATTATTATAACTCTCCACATGCTCAAAAATACTGGAATATAAAGGAATAATTGTTGAAATTGTTGGAGTATTAGCACATGAGGTCATCTCTGTAGCAAAATTAAATGGTTCCAGAAATTCTTGGTATATTTCTATATTAATCCAGGCTAAGGCACTAATATAATTTTCTTGATTGGTATTTTGTAAATGATTGGTATATGTTGTCAAATAGGGTTTGAGCAATATTGCTCTTTCAAGCATTTGGTATGTTGAATTCCAACGTGTTGGTATATCCAAAATTGGGTGAGTAAATTTTAAGTGTGGATTTTTTTCAAGATATATTTTTTAGAGTTTATTAAATTTAGATATAGAAAGTTTAAAAAATTTTTAAAAATTTCCTATTTTTTTTAAAGTTGTATTTAAGGGTTCCAATGCAGCCATGACAGCCAAATGTATAATATGGCAAAAGCATTTGCACACATTATCAAAACTATCTTTTTGTTTTAAAATTTTTAGAAATGCTAAATTATTACTTGCATTGTCTAATGTAATGCAAAAAAAATCAATTTCAAATTTTACTTTTAATACAGAATTAAAAATATTAATAGAATTATGTGCTGATTTAAAAGGAATAAAATCTAATAAATGATTATTTAATTTAAAATCATTATCAATATAATGAATTGTTATGCCCATAAAGGTTATTTTATTTGGAGAGGACCAAATGTCCATTGTTAAAGAAAATTTAGATGTAATGTTAGAAAGTACAGATTTTAAATTGATAAAAGAACTATGATAATGTTTCATAATTTCTATTTTTAGTGTTTTTCTAGAAACTAATGTTAGTAGGGTTACAATATGCTATTAAATTTTTAAAAGTGATATCCTCAACTATTGAAAAGGCTAAATTATTTTGAATGAAAAAGTTTATAATTAAATTAGCTTTATTATTTATATTATTAAGTAAAAATGATTTTATTGTCTTAATTTTTTTAATGCCAATATTTATTTGCTCACATTTCTTATATAATGTTGGGTTGATGAATTTAAGATGTGTCCATCCTGAGGTTCCAAAATTGGGAAGTGATATTTTTTTTTTAACATTTATTACAAATTGCCTTTTTTTATTATCATAAGTAGTATAAAATTCCCAGATTTTTTCTGAATTTCGTCTTTTATTAGATATTGATAATTCTTCTTGTTCATTATCGCTATTATTATTAATACCAACAGCATCTCTATTTATTAACTCTATTTGGTCTTCATTTATTATAATATCCTAAATAAATAGATAAAATTGATAGATATCATGTAAAAAATTTACTTCCATAATAAAAATAAACTATAATTATAAATAACAGAAATATTGATATCACAGTAGTATTTGGAAGAAATAACAGATGTAATCAGTTTTTGCAATGAAAGTAAAAAAAATACCACGATATAATTATCCACGATAAATCCAAATAATTATGTTATTTTTAATATTGGTATTGGTATTGGTTAAAATTGTATTTAAACAATATATCAAAACCAGTATATCTAGGTAATTGGTATTGGTTGTAAAAGCAATACCAATATTTAAATATATATTGGTTTATATTGGTATTGGTATTGTAAACCAATATTATATTGGTATTGGTCCCACCCCTAGTAATGAGTAGTCCATTACATTTTTAAATTAGTCAGTAACTAGCGTTCCTTTTTTAAAAAGGTAAGAGTAATGGTAAAGCATTTCTTTTTATAGTAACATTTACTGCAATTAAAAACTGCATACTAAAAGTGGATTTTAAAAACGCCTTTAACTCTTTAAAACGAGAACACTTTCTCCCTATTTTCTGCGACGCTTTTCCAGAATATTCTCCGTATCTTTTTGCCTCTTATAACAATTCATCTTACCTTAAATTCAACAATACAATAATTGAATCAAGGCAAGGCATTCAACAGGGTGATCCCCTTGGACCCGCCCTTTTTTGCTTAGGTATCCAGTCGATCATTGAATCGATAAATCGTGAGACAAATTTGACCCTCAATGTTTGGTATTTGGATGATGGAACCCTTGCTGGTCCATATGATTAACTCCTAAAAAGAGCGCCTATAATAAATAATCTAACCAATATTACAGGGTTGTCTCTTAATAACAACAAATGCGAATTTTATTCACCAGATGAAACCTTTATCGTTCCTCATAACTTCACACCCATTAACCTATCCAGGTTCACACATCTTGGATCTCCAATAGGCGGCAATAAAGCAATCGAATATTTCATAACAAAATTTCTCCGTAATTTCCACCTTTTACATAAAATCCTTCAAGTCCTTCCCTCCCATCAAGCTTTCTTCCTTCTCAAAAACTTTTTCTTTATCCCAAAAATCCAACACGCCTTCCGTTCTGCCCCACTTTTCTTATACCCGGAAATTCTCACCCAAATAGAATCAACAATCAAAGACTCTTTAGAAGGCATCCTTAATATAAAATTCAGCCTTAATTCTTATATGCAGGCCTCCTTACCCTCGAAATTTGGGGGTTTTGGCTTAAGATCACCCGCGTCACTCAGCCTTGCTGCCTTTTTAGCCTCAGAATCAAGCTCCCGCTTAATTATTTAATCACTTAACAATAACCCCACAGACCCCCACCTTCCCCACGCCCTAGCAATGAAAGAGAATTCCTTCTCCGCTCCAATCCCCACATAACGAAAGCAACATGACTGGGATCCTACCTTAATACGCCATTCTGTTGAATATCTAATATTGAGTGCTGCTTCTAAGGGATCCCCATCAATCCTTTCACATTTATTATCTCCCATTACAGTTGATCATCTCTCTCTCCCACAATTGCAAGTTCCACAACTTTTGCCTTCCCTATCGGGCTATGAATGGTTAGAAACTTTGCCCAGCTCAAACTTAGGACTTCTCTTAACAAACGAAATATTACGCATAACAATAGGTCTCCGTCTTGGTTGTAAAATACTGGCCAACTCCACATGTACATTATGTTCTCAACCCGTTGATTGTTTTGGACATCATCCTCTTCATTGTCGATTCTCTAAAGGTAGACATTCTCGACACAGTGCAGTTAACGGCACCATTCTCTGTGCTCTACGCTCAGCTCAAATTCCAGCAACCCTGTGGCCTCTCAACCGAGAATAATATACGGTCAGATGGGCTGACATTAATACCATGGAGTATTGGAATTCCATTAGCATGTGACTATACTTGCATTGACCGATTTGCTCCCTCCTTTAATAACAACTCATTCATATGAGCTGAAAACTCTAAAATTAATAAATACACTTCCCTAACCAATTGCAATCTCATACCAATCGTATCCGACACAACCGATTTTTTTTGGCAATCATGCCCTAACCTTCTTCAAATCCCTTGGTAAAAAAATCTGCACCATCATTGGTGACTCGTAGGAAGGCTTCTATCTCAGACAGCGCATATCTAACTGCATTGCCATCCACGATACAATTTACTATACTAATTTTTTTTTTTTATTATACAGTTTTTTATATAGATTTTAATTTACAAATAGTTTACATGATATTTTTAATAAACTAACTTATACATAAAAAAAATAAAATAAATAAATAAAGTAAATTATAATATTTATTATTTTTTTTTATAATTTCATCGAAATTAGGTAATTTATTAAGTGCATATATTGTTTAAAAATCAACTTTTGTTTCCATTTTAAGTTTTAATAAAATTATTCTTTTCTTTAATTAATAATTTTAATTTCATCAAAATTAGGTAATTTATTAAGTGCACATATTGTTTAAAAATCAACTTTTGTTTCCATTTTAAGTTTTATTAAAATTATTCTTTTCTTTATAATAATATTTTCTTAATTGAATTATCCTTTTCAACAGTGTATTAATCAATATGTAACTTTTTTTAAATTACCTTTTACAATTTTACTTTAATTAACTTTATATATTTCTTTTATTTTCAATTTAATATCACTAATATATCAATTAGAAGATATATTTATTTTCATTAAACAGGGTTTTACCTGGGGCACCATGACATTTACTTCAAGTAATAATATAAAATGGTTTTTGGTGCACTTTATTAAACTAAACAATCATTCATTCTCGATATAATTGATATTATATACATCTAATATAATTTGAATATCATAAATAAAAAGATATCTTAAGTTAATAAATAATACAAGGTTAACTTTCAATCAGTCAAATTATATATAATACAAAAAGGTTATGCATTTATTCAAAAATATTATTTGATTTGAATAACATACATTCAACATATTTAAATAGTTTGTAACAAGTTTTGTGACCACTTATTGCACAGATATGCCCATTTAAATATAATCACTGACCATAATGCCATGGAAAAAAAATTTTCTCCTTTGATAAACATAATTGCTAAAATATATATTATGATTATTTAAAAAATATATAATACTTTGTTTATAATGAATTCCAAAAATAATGAAGATAACTACAGAGATTAAAGCAAAAAACATTCCCACAATTCCTAAATATTTTGAATATAATATAAAATTATGCCATGTTATCTCTTTTTTTTTTGCTTGAATTATTATAAGATCCATGCATATAAGTGCATAAAAAGCTAATTAGGGGTTATTTTTCATATGTGGACAATATATTACCTGAATATAAAGCATATAAAGAAGTCCCATAATTTTGAAAAAAAAATGCAAACACAATAGATGCTGATATTCCAACGCACACACCAAATATAGTAAAAGCTAAATATATTTTGGGATACATCTAAGCCTTTATCTAACCCATAAATAGCAAAGAATGTTTAAGCTTCGTTTAATACTGTCTATAGCTAAAATCGTAGGATTGATTAGCTCGTAACCTGTCATATAGAAAGACACTCGTCATTCGTTAAGCGAATCGCCCTTTCATGTTGTTATAAACAATAGTGCTTCGCTAGATTATTCTCACGGCCATCAAACTGGATGAAAAAAAATATTCATCCACTAATTTTTGGTCAGGCTGCAGTTACCTGTGCTGTCACGTGGGCACATAAAGATTAGACTTGTAAAAAGATAGAGAAAAGATCCTACGCTTACAAAATTTTTATTTTTTTTGCAATGGATTTAGAACAGTTAAATTTAATTTTTACTGAATTGAAGCAAAATAGGCTTACAACCATGTTCATGTGAGAGATAAGTACTGAGGCGTTTTGTTTTATAAAAATATTCTAATATAACATTTCTATTGAATACAGATCTTCCTAATGAATGAAATTTAATATATCGTCGTTTTATAATTGGAATGCTCAACTTACGGAAATGTTTAAAATGAGAAAATCAACATTAAAGTTTAATCAAATATAGGAAAAACTTATCAATCTATTTTAAAAATTTCACAAATAATTTATCATATTATTAATTAATTATAATCTAAAAAATTTTTCTCAAAATATTTAAATATATTTGATAAAATCAAAATGCAAGTGAAGCAAACATAACACTTTATGATTTTTTTTAATGTTCAAAATGCTCAATTAACATTTCTTTTAGTAGAATTGAAATTAACACAATATTTTTTTCCTAATTTTTTCTTTTACAATTAATAAAATGAATAAAAATAATATTTAATTAATAATTTTTTCCATATATTATCTATCAGTTCTAGGCAAAAACTATAACATTGTTCTAATATTATTTTTACCTTTTCAAGGAATCAAATAAGTTCGAATTTTGGTATAATTATTTTTAAAGAAATAACTAATCCGTTTATTACTTATATCAAGTGCTTGTTTTAAAAATTGTCTAAAAACTCTAACCTTAACATTCTCCACTTCAAAAAATATAAGTATGAATACAGTTTTTATAATTTGAAGAATCCTTAGTCCATCTAATACATGAAATCCTAACAATAAATTTGATATAGAAAGGTCCCTTAACTTCATCAGCTAAGCTCAAAAAAGCCTCATGAATAATTTTACTCTGTTCTGCATTAACTTTTTATGACATTGAAATATACATTTATTGTAATGATCATTCTGAGCCATCCTTGCTCTTTTTTAAAATCACCTTTAATATTGATATAGGTCTCACCAATTTCCCTTAGTCTTACTTTTTCTTTCATTTGCTTTACTTCTAGAAGTTGAAGGGCATGTTAAAATAAAAATAATACGATTCCTTAATTCAATTTTTAAATCTATATTTAATGAGCAAGTAGTGTTTAATAATTTATTTAAATTATGAGCAAGTAGATTATTAAAATATTGTGAAAAATTTTACATATAATTATTAAGTTTCTTTATTTTATTTTAAAAAAAGACATTAAAACCGTTACTGACTATTCGAAAAAATAACGGGTTACTCATTACTTAAAAAATTAAATATTATATACAAATAAAATATTTTTTTTACTACAATAAATAATATAAATAAAACTATAAAAAAGAATATATAAGATAAGATCTTTTTATATAAATACAAAAATAATATTGTGATATTTCTCACTTTTTTAAAACAAAGATAAACTCTTTCAACGCAAATTTCTTATTTTAAAATATTTTATTTCAACTCTTTTTCTATTAATTTACTTCCACACTTTGTATTTTCGATAATAATTTTCTTATTAAAAAAATAAACTTACTTCAACTCCTTTTCTTTTAATTTACTACAACTCTTTGTCTTTTCAATAATAATAATAATTATTTTTTTTTACAACCCTTTTTTTTATCCTTTATTAATTTTATTTTTAAAAAATTTAATCAAAAAAATATAATGAATGAAAAACAATATTTTTTCTTTTTTCAACAACTTTAAAAAAAAATAATAATTATTATTATTAAAAAGACAAAGAGTTGTAGAAAATTAAAAGAAAAGGAGTTGAAGTAAGTTTTTTTTTTTAATAAGAAAATTATTATCGAAAATACAAAGTGTGGAAGTAAATTAATAGAAAAAGAGTTGAAATAAAATATTTTAAAATAAGAAATTTGCGTTGAAAGAGTTGATCTTTGTTTTAAAAAAGTGAGAAATATCACATTGGTGCCGTGACCTAAGCCCAAGTGTCGTAAATTATTGAATAAATTTTAAATAGTTGAATTTGAACAAAATATACAAGAGAACCCAAGTGTTGTAAATTATTGAATAAATTTTAAAGAGTTGAAGTTGAACAGAATATACAAGTAAACCGAAGTGTTGTAAATTATTGAATAAATTTTAAAGAGTTGAATTTGAACAGATGTTGAGAAATTATATTGTAATTTTATTAAAGGTTGTTATATTGTAATAACAGGTTGTAATAATAAATTGGCATAAAACAGAGTTGTTTTAGAAGGAAATTGTTGATTAATTGATATTAAATAAAATTAGAGAAGAGATTTGAAACGAATTTAGCGTAGAAAAAATTTTGAGTTGAATATATGTATAAGTGTATATTTGCAGTATTTACGTTATTAATACTGTCTTATTTATTAACACTACAAGTTATTAAAATATTTATTTTAAAGGTGATTGTCAATTTTTTGTGAGATGAAAAGTTTTAAATTTATAAAATACTGGGAGGTACAATATAATATTATTGGAGCGTTGCTAGTATTAGGTATATGGATGTGTAGTTTAATCCTAGGAAGGAGAACTAGGCGCAATCGAAGTGTTATGATCAAGGGGCAGACTTTGACAATAGAAGGAAATAATGGAGAGGAGGATGTGATGGGAAAGGTAACGTGGTTACCAGTGCAAGGAATTAATAAAGGGTTGGACTGATAGTGAAATATTAGGTTTATCAGAAAATAATTTAATAATATAGATGTTCTGATGGGGATGTATATGGAAAATATGGGTATAGAAATCAAGTGTTGAGGTCATATGGGGACAGAGAAAATCTGTTGAAAAATAGAACGGAGATGAAACCGAGATTTAATTCTCGAGGGAGGGGAGACGTAACTTGTTATAATTGTGGTGGACAAGGACATATGGTCAGGGATTGTCAGGAAACAAAGGTGTTTTGGGTGCGGCAAACATGGTCATATAGCCCCCTTTTGCCCGCATAAACAAGAAAGATTGAGATGCGCCGGGTGCGGGAGATTTGGTCATAATAAAGAGGATTGTAATGTAGATAAATATAATACAAGAGGTGGTTTCCCACAAAGGGGAATGGATCAACAAAATACTCCCATTGTGCGAACGATAGAAAATAAGAGGAGCGAAGAAATAATTGTATCTAAACATAATGAGGAAGGAAGGGCGTTGAATGTGATGTGTTTTAAATGCCGGAGGGAAGGGCATGTGGCTAGAGATTGTTTAAATTGTTGACTATATGATATTGAGGGTGATATTATTAAAATGGGGCAAGAGAAAGGGTTGAAAAATATAAAATCCAAGGATATCATTGGAAGAGAGGAGAATAAAGGGGTTGAGAAATAAAGAATATAATAGAAATATTGAGGAAATAAAATGTATAAATATGTTACAAGAGGGAAGGGCGTATGATATTTGTCCCAGAGTGTTGTTAAATTTTAATGGAAATTTTGTATCAATGTTATTTGATACAGGAGCAGCGATCACAGTGATGGGATATGATACATATCAAAGTATTTGGCCAGATGGAAGGATAAAAAGAGAAGAAATAAAGGTTAGACAATTCGATGGATCAGAGATGACAATAATGAGAAGAATCGAGATTGAGGTGATGATAGAGAATTGAATGGAAGTGTTGGATTTATGGATCATCGATAAAGGGTTGAAACGGTTTTGGGATGGGAATGGATTATACGCATTGGTCCTTGGTATAGTTTTTGGGGTGTATTTGCGTGGTGTGGTATATTTTTGCCCATTGTAGGTGATGATGAAAATGAAAGTATAATATATTCGGGTAATCAGAGGTTGCCAGGGGTTGAGACTATGTTCAATAGAGGAGAGATAGAAGAAGGGAAGGGAAGGTTTGAAATAAGGGAAAATTTTAGGGGAAAAATAAGGAAAAATTTTAGGGGGGAATAGGGGAGACTTTTAGGGAGAAATAAGGGAGACTTTTAAGGGGAAATAGGGAAGAATTTTAGGGGGAAATAGGGAAAATTTTAGGAGGAAGTAGGGAAGACTTTTAGGGGGAAATAGGGGAGAATTTTAAAGGGGGAACTTGGGGGAAGGATCGCGAAATGTCATGCAATGGGTTGCAGAAAAGAGAAATTGAGTTACGGGGAGAAGAGTTGGAGACGGAAAAATTGAGAAGTGAAAAAGGATATTGAGTTAGGGATGGCTCAAGTGCGGGAAGGAGTTTAGAAATTAGTGAACAAATATCAGGAGATTTTTGACGAAGGGTTGGGATGCTTAAGGGATTACGAAGTAGATATTAAATTAAAGGAAAATTGTGTACCAAAATTTTGTGCGTTGCGAAGAATAGCGTTTAAATCGCGAAAGGAGGTGGAAATAGAGTTGAATCAATGGATGAGAAGGGGCATCGTATGTCCAGTGGAATATAATGAGTGGGCAACGCCCTTAGTGCCTGTGAAGAAAGCAAATGGGAAGCTTCGATTGTGCGCAGATTTCCGGGTAACTTTAAACCTGTGGGTTGTAGAAGTAAAATATCCGTTGCCACGGATTGAGGAGATATTGGCCAATTTAAAGGGAAGTTTATATTTTTCCAAAGTGGATATTTCCCAATGAGTATTTACAATTGCTAGTGAGGCCAGAGGTGAGAAAATTGTTAACAATTACTACTCCGCAGGGGTTGTATGCATTTTGTAGATTGCCGTTTGGACTTAGCATATCGGCTCCGAATTTTGCAAAGGACCATGGCGGCTGTTTTCCAGGGGTTGGAAGGGGTTTACTATTATATGGATAATGTGTTGGTGATAGGAATAACGCCTGAACAACATGAACAGAGGTTGGAAGAGGTATTTAAGAGAATTCAGGAAAAGGGTTTGCGAGTAAGTGCTGAAAAAAGTGTGTTGGGGGTTACAGAAGTTGTGTATTTGGGACACAGAATTACAGTAAAAGAGGTGAGACCCATAGATAAAAA